CAGCAAAAAATCTTAGACGTTGAGATAACGTGTGGAACTAAAGTTATGAATGTGACAGTTAATATGTAGAATTCTTATAAGTGGTCGCTCTAATTAACCTAGTAACTTTGTGACTGCAATAATGATGATCAGAACTAGGAAATGTCAGGCTACTATTCAATATAATGTGGTCTTATTGAAAACGACACACTTCCTCATAGTACTATCTTGTCAATTAGGGCTACTAAATATATTTTATACCAAGGTGGTTCTTTTAAGTGGTATATACGGCTAGTCAAAATGAAAATATGTACACTAAAAATAGTAAACTATCCGGCAAAACTAGCAAAACCCACCCTGATTAGTTTTGGAATTTAGACTATCCAATAAATTTGACGTATAAAAAACCGGTTGCGTCAAATAGTATAGACCGAAAGGGAACCAGGTTAAGCATGCAGTAGAGCAACCAATTCCAGGGTGCTTGAAGCCATTGAATTTTTGTCATTTGGTTGATTGAGTGCAAATCTAACAGCCCAGATAACTATGTGACTGTCGCTGGGTGAACCGTCTAAAATGACATCATTATTGCAGAAAATTCATAGCCTAACTCACAGCAAACTTCTGGAGTATTGTCTTGGTCTTTCGGTAATGGAACTCGAAAATCGGGAACTAGTGTAAGATCCATTTTGAACGTTTCGTATGTGAAAGTCCCTTCATGCATGCATTCATGGCTTCTTCCTAATGTTTTCTTTATTTGTACATTGTTTTTAGTATTTTTGATGCCATTTTTGATTGTGGTGTTTCATTTCACAATAGCTTTCTTGGTTTTTCTACCGCTTTCATTGAGTTTCTATGTTTCTTCTCGAACTGTATTTAATTTGTTTTAATTGATATTATTCTGGCGGCTGCCATATTGAGTGTTCGCTCTTTGATTGTGCTGTTTGATTTGACCGGGATCGTGCACTTTGGTTGTAAATTGGAGCACTTTCGCAGAAGTTGAAACACTTTGTGTTATAGAACAGCTGCTCAAACGGAATCTTACTTGATCTACCCAGAAAGGATAAAATAACACTTACTTTTTGGTGTGCTCGGTAAATTTCTTAGATTTCTTATCAACATCCTATTTATTGTAATTTAGATTGATTATTCTGGGAAAAATTGATTGGTTGAATAACTGTGTGGTAATATTTGTTTAGGTAAATTTGTACTACTGTATATATGATGAATTTTAGAAGCGTTGTTACCCAAACACCTTGTTCTGATTTCGATTGGGTCACGCGTCCATAAACCTATTCCCTAGTTATTCGTCAATCCAAGTTAGGCTTGGATCTTACAACTAGGCACACACTTTTCGTAAGAAAATATATTACAGGATAATCCATAGTTGAAAATAGAGTTAAATGAAGAAACAAGATGAATAATCTGATCCAGATAACTATCTAGTCCTTGTTTGCACTGCTAGTCAGTGTGTATTTATGTCAATGAAATGCCATGTGTGCTAGTGATTGATGTTTTAACAAGTTTATTTTGCTGGAGCATGTAAATTCCACTAAAGCCTAATACCACTACAGATCCACATCCAGGTCAAGAACGAAGCGACACAGGAATCTCTTTATTTTATAATCATAGAAGGTTTACTCAATGTTGGTTACAACCACCTATATAACAAAAAGGGGAATGTTCGTTGTGCAACAATCTGTGGGTTCGCCTATCGAGTCAGAACCTCAACTACGAGACGAATATCCAGACACAATACTACTAATACCAAAGTTACCATGGTGAAATGATAGCGCGACCGTACAAGATCGATAGTATCACTCACTTCTCTTGACATATGCAAGGGAAGTGTATGGCAGCTGTACTTTATTATTTATCACTAGGCGGGTAGTTTCTTACAAAATCCATTTACATTCATATCTTATAAAATATCAACCCAGCTGAGTAGTTTTCTACAGTGAGAATTGTATCTTCTGCAACAATTTGATATTGCTTATAAACCGGCATGCTTCATGTAACAAACTGTTATTTGAGAATAAATTATCATTATTATTATAGTATTCACTGTTTGCAGTGAATGCACTTACGCTATATACTCAAGGAGTTAAGATACTAGCATGTTTTATCTTACAAGTTGATGGGGTCAACCTTCCTGTATGTACCGATTCTAGAAGACCGATGCAACAGCACATGTTAAGCAATTAACAGCTGGCCTACAATCTATTACGACTAAAAATTGAACATGATATAGTCTTTACTTTCTCGTCTTGTGTATGCATTGATATCTCTATGCTTCCAAATTGGATGGTTAGCTGTTTGGATCGGCAGCCATACTTTGAATTTGGGTTGTATAAAAGGGTTGTCGACTACAGACTAAAGTTTTCCCATTTAGTCCTTCAAGAAAAGTAAACACAATTGTCACGAGAATAAAAGATATGAGTGCTCATACGTTATGTAGTTTTGCTGTTAACAGCCAAGAGACACCTTTGTTTTCACAGAACAGCGGTTTTCAATAGCAAAACAAGTTACGACTAAAGGTCTTTAAATTGTTGACAATAATAAAACATTTGACTTTCAATTTGCATGCTGATGTCACTGCTTGGTCCAACCACGGTATATGTGTGTAACTGTCAGTGGTAGGCAATGTGAACAAATCAAACGAAGTGGATGGACAAGAACCAAGATATCAAACTATAGTTCCACGGAACAAACATAAATTCTTCCACCACCCTACCTTCTTCAACACTTACCTTCGGGAAGAACCAACATTTCGGCCCAGTCACAGAAATTGGGAGGCTGAGGTAACATCCAATATAGCTATCATATAGTTCGAATAGAATCTGTATACCAAGGGAATTGCTGTAATCTTGACGACTATCCCGTCAATTCTACGATGCTAATTAAAGACAGAAGTTGTAGGGAAATGCGTTTCTAGAAATAGCAGCAGATCCAAGTACGTATGAATTCTATATAATCAGTATTAATATATAGTTAAAAGATTTTAAAGAGTAATATTATGTTATTCCCAATTAACGGACGTGTCGAGAACGAATAAATTCCTCCTTACTCGGGTATAATAGGCTTGCCCAACAATGAGTTAATCACACTACCATAGCAACGATTACAATCAACCGAACACCTTGATGTTTTGGCCACCTGTTCCAGATTTATTTCTTGTGTAAATTTGTATTTCTCAAAGTCTGTTTTACATCAACAAGGCCATTTTGATTTTCTAGCCAGGTGTTTATATATTCCACTTCCGGTCAACTAAAAAAGAGCCATTTAATTAGTTCGTATAAAAATATTTTGGGAAGAATACTATACATGTATCACTTTAGGGTAGCCTGAATAGGAAAGGCCGAGTAGAAGAATGTCAGGCAACATTAAGAAACCTGATATTATTAACGTTGGTGACTCCCTTTCCTAGTTTTCATCATCATTATCCTACAAGTCGTAAATATAGGTTACATTTATGGATGGTCGATCTGTTGGAGTTGAATGAAAATGATGTGACCTGATAGTTAAATCAAAGTCACACTTCGTAGTTATCACCTAACGTGACCAATCCGATTGCGCTAAAGAAGTGGGTTGTATGGAACGAATGCTTTCCATAGACAACAGCATATATTAGTAAGAACAGGATATAGATGTACAGATATGAAGCACTCTCCCATGATGCCATCCATGGAGCGCAACAGAATGAAACTCGTTTTTCACTGAAACAGATGAGGTTGGACAGACTATCCTACATTCATCAATCCCTTGTTTAACGCAGAAACTGTTCAGCTTGACGATAGTTTAACCAAGGACCAATTAAATTTAATCCCCTCTACTATCCTGTAGAACGTATTCAAACTCAGAAACCGTATTGCGTGTCTGGGTTTCAGTTTTTGACAATACTTTATTCGGCTTGATATTTTATTCGGTATAAAATCAATCTATTTCAGAGTAGTGTTTGTTCAAGATACGATCGTAGTAAATCTACATGAACTATGCTCAGCATGACACGCAGCATGTGATTTGTTATATCTGTTAGTATTTTTCATTTATGTGACTTCATCCTAATTAATAATCTAAATGGGTGTACAGTCAACACATAAATACGTGTATTTTTGACTAGGTCTGTATTCAAGTTTTAGGTTTAATAGATCTTCATCTGTACCAGTCATGGTGTTGTTACTTCGCGTCGTGGCGATTGCAGTTGTTCCTCGATTTATATGTATGAGTAATTAGCGACATAACAACAGACATATCACTGAATTAATCGCTGCTTAAGATGCCATTAATATTCCGGGTTTTATGACGCTTTTGCCTGCAACACTTCCCTAATCGGAGTATGTCAAACCAGTCAAATCAGAAAACAGGGATAAATGGTTTCGTAGATATTTTGGCAATTTTGTCAATATGTTGAGAAGTGTTTGATAAAAGCTGGACAGTAGTCGCAAGGGATATTCAGAGTGGCGTACCTTCTCGTGACCTTTTGGGAACGTGTGACCAGGTGCATCCAACTAGGATGTGTCCAGCAAAATTAATGAGGCTAATTTCAACGTAAAAGACATAGAACTAATAATTTCGGGAATTTATTTATTACCACACTGTTATACATTTAATATACCAAGATCAACAATCAAATAATTTTATTTAAGCTTAATCATACAATACATTGGTTTTTTAACACGAACTAACTAGCAAGCACTTGAAGAACATCCATGATATTTGATGAATTCATATTACACTCCCCAAAGTAACGCTTTTCAGGTATTCTTCATAATATGAGTTAATATCAAAATACAGCGACATCAATATGAAGTACGTGAGTATTCCACTCTCATTTGTGGAAAATGCCAAGTTTAAGATGACAAATAGTGGTTGTTGTACATTTCAAATCTGTGTTTTATCGCTCTACACATTGTCAGTGCCACTATGTCTCTATTCAAATAAAGTAGCACGATGTCGCGTTCCAAAGTTAACATGGAATTGCCTGTGTTCACTGGAATTATTACTTTTTACCATGATTGTCTTTAATGTGTTACCTAGTCGGTCCTCAACGGGCCTTTCCTCAAGACAGCATGCACAATAAAACTTCTGTGGTTATTTACAAGGGAACTATTTACAAATATAAAGTAAGTCCTTCATCATTTTGCTTTCATTGCTTACATCCTGTCATTTAACATTTTACGTCTTAGTATCCATACTGTAGGTCAAAATTTCAAAGTCTGATGCAATTAGTTAACTAAAAAACTTATCGTGCTCATGTTTAAAATAGGTTCAGAATACTAAAGGAAGCAAACATGTAACTCCAAGGAATAAAAACTTCTAAATTTCATCACACGCTGTTGAATTCGGTTTTAATCACTGTCAGTCATTTCAGGGTTCTGAAATTTTAGAAGGAATCACCGTCTGAAGTTTTACATCCTGTTTTATAAGAAAAATGGCTTGTAATAGCTGCCTCACAATGAAATGAGAGTCAAGTGCTGTTTTAAGATTTTTACTGTCATTGGTTTTTGTGCCACCTGAGAAGTTATTACTGCTCAGATTGGGAGGTCAAAGTGAATTGAGGTAAAAGAAATTACGGTTTGTATAAGACGGCGACAAAGCAAATACTACCGATCATACAGAACATTTGAAGTACAGTGCATTCTGTTTGTTAAAGTGTTTGATAATCAGATCAACTAACGTACACTTTGTACGCTGGTTCAGACTTGGTTTACGAATTACGCCCTATATATCTTATAAAAATGAGTCCACATTCTATATAAATGGCTTCCGAATCTTCGTTTTAGTTAAAACATAGATGAAAAAGCTACTGCTCTTTTGGGGTCACTCTGGCATTATCTTTACCAGGTCAACAAAATAAGTAAAGAATGAAATCATGCCACAGTGATCCAACTGAACTTTTGCACTTTAACTGTCTACGAGGACAGTTAAGAATCTAAAATGGTATATAGAACAAACGAAATTCCTGAACGTCATTCAGCATACAAACATGTTTGTTACAGGGCATTATTACTCTAAAATTATACAAATAATAAGTGGACGGTTTCCGAAACGACAGCAATCTTACATTGATGACATTATTGATAAGGTCTGAAGACAAAAAAACATAGCTATTCAACGAAACTCTAAAACTAAACAAACTACACCGGATAGGATATGGGTTGAAACAGTAGGCTGATGGTTCCTAGTGACAACTCTAAAACTAAAATGAAGTCATCTTTGAGTAACAAAAGTTCGATTAGTTCGTGCACTTAGTTGGTAATTGCTGTTCACAAGCCACTATAGATTTGTGGTTATTTATTGGGATGCATAGTGTTTTAGCAATAAATAATGACAGACTCTGCATCATCGGACTAATAAGTGCTCAAAACGACCAAATGAGCGCTAAAAGTATCTGTGTGAACTCTTAGTTGTTTTAGTGCATTTCGCTCTCCATGTAAGCTTGTTTATCCTATAGTGGAACTTCCGTCTGAGAACATTGCGAGTAACGACAAGTTAGGTTGTTTCTGTACGAACACAGTCAGCGTGTCAACCGATTCACAGCTTCTATCTAAACCAACTTTTCAAATAACTTAGAGACCATAATACGATATGGATTTGATTCTCACAGATTTTATTGGTTCTAGTCTGAAAGTCTGCATAGTTTGGACAAAAGTGATGTTAGGACTTATATATATATATATAAACTTAAAATAAGGCTTCTTAAGTTTGAGAGAAATGACTTCCTTCCAACAAGTAGTTTTCAGTTGTTATTGTTAATTTGATATTATCCGTCCGTAAAACAAACATTCATATTAGCTAGTTTTGTACACACCACCCATATTATTTTTCGGCTGCTGAAAAATTATAAGTTAGTTCAGGAATAATGTAACGAGAAAGATATGGACTTTTAAGGGTCACTTGAGTTTGAGCAAGTAAGTGCGCATGGCATCAAGTAGGAAGATTATGTCGTAAAGTTGTGAGATAACAAAGCGCTCCTTAGTTTCATCTATTTGATTCTGACCCGCTAATTTAGTTTTCATGTATCTTCTACAAAAACAAAAATTTCGAATTTTAATATCCTAAGGAGTCTAAAGCTAGAAAAACAGCAACTGTTTAATGTTATTTCGATCGCCCTTCATTGTTATTGTCTGGCTGGTGGTTGTATTTATAACCGCTGTCTTTTGAATAAAACAAGCTTTTTACAAGTTCAGTATTTAAATACATAGACTTGTGCTCATTGGGCCAATGAATTATCGGCTACTTAGAGACCCGATGGCTTTGATGTCGATCTCGTGTCAGGTTACATTACCGAGATGTTCCAAACTATGACAAAATAACTACAATGAACCTCTTTTTTTTTAATTTCTGTTATACAATATTTGCCTCGGAATTAATTTATGTTTAAATGATCAGTTAACTAAGTAAAGGTTTGACAATAATACCTGTGTTATAAAAAAAGGTTCTATCAAAAAACCGTTGCCTTCCGGACAATATATATATATATATATGCATATATTTAATATCTTCCAAATATTTACCTCGCTGAATAATATAATCTCTGGAAGAGTACTCTCAAACTATCATCAATGTGATCAATCTATTAATAAAATTATTCTGCTCATTGAATACTCTACGCCAAGTAACTTTATTAAAATTTTGAAGCTAATTCAGCCCCAGTTAGAGATTTATGTACTACTTCTTCGGTCTGCAATATATATATGACGTTTGCAAGTAGTTCTTAACCACCGTAATCTAAGTCTATTTAACTGAATCTGAATTTGAAAAAACAGTTACGTGTACTTGAAATGTTTCGATCATCTAAACAATGTTTGACTTTTGAGGATACCAGTAACAAGAATTTAGAACATCAAATATGACATTTTATAATTCTAATTTCTTTTTAGTTCAACAAAGCTACACAAAAATCTTTTTTATAACAACTGCTTAATAAATAATAATTTATTATGTTAAAGTTTTTCTAACAAATTCAAAACTCTACACAATAAAAGACTCATTAATGTCTAACAGATTTGCCCCCAAATGCCCTGGTATGGCCGAGAGTGGGGAGAGTCCGCTCTCCCCCTCCAAATGCTCTCACATGGCCATGCCCATATAGCCTCTGCAAGGCAAGTCCTACTCAATGCCTTCTTGCGGCGGAGGTGTTGTTTACGAAATTGAGAGGACGAAAAGCGCTTGTCCGGCGCTTTAACCAGGTTGATGGACACAGAAAGTTTGCCTAGGGGAGTTGTAAAACTCTGATTCTAAACCAATGGTGCGCATGGACTCCAGAATCCTGAGGGAACAAATGGCGTAAGAGCCTTCTGTTGGTTACCGGCTACCATGGGACTACATCTCCTTATGATGCTTCACTGCCTTGTGGATCAGATCTTTAGGTCAAAGGCTCCGGGTGTGGACACCTAAGAAAACCACCATCACAGCCTTCACACAAATCAAGTGAGATTTGTGTGGCGCATATTTATCTGGTGCTTCCTTGTACCAATATTTATATGTTTAAATAAACGAATAAAACAGTGTTTACAATGCTTTTCTGCTCGTTTATTGAGTGAGTGTTGCATAAACGACAATAGCTTTTACTAAAATTTTAACTTCATTCACCTAAAGATATCTATATGTGTCATATGAACACGTCACCGAAGAGTATTCTTTATTGTCGAAAGAAAAAACAAAAGAAAGTGAAAGTTAGTACTTGAAATCAAGGCTTCATATATGTAACTAATTCACTAAATGAACGGAAAAATATCCAAAAATGCTTGATACGGTACAGATAATAAACATGTTCTTCAAACCCACGGACATGTACCCCATCTCTTAAAAGATGCAGTTCGAGTAGGAATTTAACTGGCTTATATTCTGTATATCTTATTATTTATGAGAAATAAAAAAATCAAACTATCATAACCGGCAACTATTTAGGCTTTGTGTTTAGCTAAGTTTTATAGTATTATTTGTTGTATCCATAAGAATTTCACATATGAATTTGAGAAGAATTAACAAAAAAAATAATCCAACACAATTTGACTTTACCATATAGTCCCATTTAGTAAACTGACAATTTACTGGTAACCAAGGTAATAACCAAGTTTTGTAGGAAATTAAACAGGTTTTACTGTTTCCATAATCAAACAAGAGAATGGATAAATTTTATGGTTGAAACAAATGATAGTTTATTCACTTCGGTAACATTTTCTCATCAGATTCTGGTATGGTGATTTTCACTTCCCTGAAAAAGGGAAATCATCAATATCGCTTAATGATACAATTAAAATGGTCAAATATTGTTATATTTCATTATTAGTATGGGGTTGTGGAATTATTGAGTTTTCGAATGAGATCATGAGTCAATTAAAGCCAGACTGTCATGAAGAACCTGTAAGCAATAAACGGCCGTTCCATCTTATTACGAGACTCCTCAGCAGTGCGTATCCACGATCCCACACGCCGGACTCCAACCAAGGACCTGTTGGTTTCGCTCGCCAACGCTTAACCTCTAGATCACTGAGCCGACATCCAACGGTGTTAATGTCTAATTTCAACCAATCCACAAAATTTCGCCACCATCCACCATTATCTTCAGTGAGTTACTATTTCACAACAGACCTAGTTGGACTCCATTGTTCAGTGCTTCTCACTAGAACTTCAGGAAATACTTCTTGAAACCAGTCACTAGTGAGCACATGGTAATTATCACTATAGAGTTGTGAAGGTTGATGAGTTTTTTTCAATCAAGATCGTGTTCGCACACGTGACCGAAGGTCCTGGGTTCAAATTCCGTGTGCGGGATCGTGGATATGCACCATTAAGGAGTCCCATACTAGGATGAAACAGTCGTCCAGTGCTTCCAGGTTTGCAATGGTGGTCTAGCATTGTTTGATTTATATTTAGTTCTTCTACGTCCATTCACATTACCATACCCGATTAGCATAATGAGAAAGAATTATCAGGGTGAATCCCAGAGTAGTAACGTTGTAACAGTATTTGTGGTAATAGAAAAGATTATGCATCGAGAATAAAATAAGAGTTCATAAGGAATTTAGAAACTTTCCATTTAAAGGAAGACAAACAGTGAATGAGCCTGCATCATCCCGAATAATTTCGAGCCATGTATCTTCCAACATCTCTAATC